AAACAGCAAACTTGCTTTTTTCTAGTCTGACAACATGTTTTCTAAATGGGGTGTTTAGTCCAATTTTTTTTTTGACAGGCAGAGTGGACAGTGAGAGAGAGAGAGAGACAGAGAGAAAGGTCTTCCTTTGCTGTTGGTTCACCCTCCAATGGCTGCTGCGGTCGGCGTGCTGCGGCCTGCGCACCGTGCTGATCCGATGGCAGGAGCCAGGAGCCAGGTGCTTTTCCTGGTCTCCCATGGGGTGCAGGGCCCAAGCACCTGGGCCATCAACTTCTACTGTACTGTGTGTACTGTGTGTACTCCCCCTCTTCGTGGAGGAACGACACAAGACCCTGCGCTGTTCTTTTGTCTGCTCGGCCCTCCCCGGGTTTGCTGCTGGTTCTTCCCGGGTTGGCTACCAACCCTTCCACCTCCGTGGAAGGGTGGTTCCCCCTAGCCACTTTCCCCACTTCCGCGGGGGAGCGGCACACCGCCGGCCGGCTCTCTCGGGGGCTGCACAGGTGTTCCTTCAGATAGATGTTCCTTGTGCATGTTGTCTCTCTCCTCCTTTATAGTCCTCTTCCACCAGTCCCAACTCTGCTACCCACACGCCAAGTACGCTGCTCTCCTCCAATCAGGAGCAGCTCCTGCAGCTTGTCAAGTTGGTGAAAGGCAGCTGTGTAGAAGCTGTTTCCTCCTCTCCGAGCGCCATATTGTGGGAGAGCAGATGCATAGAATAAGTCTTAATTCCAGTAACTTAGTCTAGTCCGAGTTGCTCCCCACAATAATATAATTGGTATTATAAGTCAGGGATCTGTGTTCTCTCCACTTGAATTTTATTGGAGGCTTGTGGCTGCTCTAACCTATATAAATGGCAGAGATTATGCTATGTGACTTCCAAGGCTAGGCTAGAAAAGGTCTGCAGCTTACACTTGGTTCTGTCTCTAGGGATACTTGATCTTCTTACCCACCACTATGCCATGAGAAAGGCCAAAATAGTCCTTGTAGGGGACCCCAGTGAGCCCATATGTACCTGAAATGACACTCTCAGTTGTAGGCCAGCATCAGCTCCCAGATATGTGAAAGATTGAGCTTTCAGATTTTAGCACCTTGCCTTTGAGTTTTTCAGTGGAGATACCAGACACAGTGATCCAGAGACAACATGGCCCTCTGTGAGCCAAAAAGTATTGTGGTTTCTAAAAAGGTTGCAAGGTATTTAATGTTTAATGCTCTTAGTGTTTACATTCCTAGCCCAGTCCCCTCTATTGTTAGGTCTCCTTCATCTAGGCCTGCCTTCAAGGTCCAGGATCCTCTCAGGCACTCCTACTGAGGCCTCCTTGTGTCAGGAGCAGGAGAGAAACCTAAAGACACTTTAACCTGCTCTGACTCCTCCTCAGTGTTTTCTATTCCTAGCCCAACCCCTCACTCTTCTGGCCCTTTGTTCTATTTCCTGTCTGATAATTTAAACTTCTGAACCATTTCTGTTTTTTCTCTTTTTCTTATTATGATCACAAATCCATTTACCTACTAAGTTTGTGCTTTTTAATTTTTAAAAATTGAATCCTGAATTTTTTTTATTTATTTTATTTTATTTTTTGACAGGCAGAGTTAGACAGTGAGAGAGAGAGAGAGAGAGAGACAGACAGACAGAGAGAAAGGTCTTCCTTCCATTGGTTCACCCCCCAAATGGCCACTGTGGCCGGTGTACTGCGTGGATCCAAAGCCAGGAGCCAGGTGCTTCCTCCTGGCCCAAGCACTTGGGCCATCGTCCACAGCCTTCCTGGGTCACAGCAGAGATCTGGACTGGAAGAAGAGCAACCGGGACAGAATCCGGCGCCCCACTGGGACTAGAACCTGGGGTGCTGGTGCCGCAGGCAGAGGATTAGCCAAGTGAGCCATGGCACTGGCCAGTCCTGAATATTTTTTATGAATACAATGATGGAGATAAATATTTACCTTCAGGAAAGAGCATGCCTTTGTATTGGTCAACTTTATGTTACAACGGTGAAATAAATACCTTAGAGAAGAGAAGCTAAATTTATAATGAGAACAGGTTTATTTTGGCTCATGGTTTTGGAGTTTCACAGTCCAAGCTCAGGGAGGCCTCACTGACTTGGCCTCTGGTGAAGGTGCTCTTGATGGCAGAGTCCAAACAAGGCTCAGAGTATCATATGGCAAGGAGCACCAGAGTGTCTGTGTCTCTCCTTAGAAAACCACCATGATTCAGCCCAGAGAGTTCTACCCTAAGGATTCAATCCAATCCCGTCACTTTCCAAAAGCCGAATCTTCAAACACCATACTTGGGTGAAGTTTCCATCTTCTTAGTACCATACACTTAAGACTTTGGACAACATGCCATTACCGTTTGGCCTTTGGGAAACATTCAACATGCAAACGAATACCTAAATGCTAGCACCCCTGTTCTGTCAGCTGTTAGACTTAGGGCAGAAACAATCTCACGAGTGGTTGAGCTGGGTCTGTGCTTCCCTGCAGCTTTGTGGATTCTGTGCCCCACTGGCTTCAGATAATTTGGCATGTGGGATTAGGCCTAACTCAGCAGAAAAACCAGAGTTCCCAGCTTTGGCAACCTTCTGGGGAGATCTTTGTGTCTTTGGCTCTTCAGACTGTAGGAGGTTTTCCTCCTACAGGATTTCCAATCCTGCTGGAGGGAGGGTCCCTAGGGAGCTTTCTTTACACAGCATTCCTGCCCCTGTCTTTCTGAGCATGGTGAAATCTCTCTCCAATCTGCCCCTCTGCACTCATCCTGGGGAGGGCAGCTGCCTTACTATATAACAAGGCCTGTAACCTAGATGGATTTCTCTCAGCTTTCAGACCTTCTCTGATCTTTGATAGTTCTGTTGCTGAACACATGGTCATGTCTTATAGCAAGAAGGCAGAAAGACTTCTACTGTGGCTGGTGTTCCTTGGAATTCTGATCGATTAAACACATCCATTTAAAGTACATTGAGTTTGCTGTTGATTTCTCCTTGCTTTTCTTTATGAGGATTTATTTTTTGCTCCATTCTCATAATGGAAAGTATGAGGAGAGAAAATTTCATGTCTTCTAGAACTAAGCTGTCACTGCTGAGGTTTAATTCATTGAGATTCTTGCATTCTCAGCAATCTAATAAAAACGAAGACAAAAAAGGTGATTTTATGATTTATCCAGGTAGTTTTGATTGTCAGCGTGAGAATGGTTTTCACTCCTGTCACTTTCTCCACATTAACCAAGAGGAGAACAGAGAAGGGTATTCCTTAATTTTTAAGAATGAGTTGTAAAAGCCTTGCAGTAGGGCAGGCACCTAGGCACAGAGGGTTATATCACTGCCTGATACCTGCAACCCATATCAGAATCCTGGTCTGGCTCCCAGCTCTTCTGCTTCTTACCCACCTTCCTATAATGCTCCTTGTAGGGAAGTAAGCAATGGCACATGTACTTTGATCCCTGCCTCCTATGTGGGGATCCAGATGGAGTTGAGGCTCCTGGCTTCAGCCTAGCCCTCCTTAATGCCTGCTGTTGGGATCATTTGTGGAGTGAAGAAGCAGATGAATATTCTTTCTTTGTTACTCTGCTTTTCTTTTCTTTTTCTTTCTTTGTTTTTTCTTTTTCTTTCTGTCTTTTTTTTTTTTTTTTCAGGCAGAGTTAGACAATGAGAGAGAGAGACAGAGAGAAAGGTCTTCCTTTTCCATTGGTTCACCCTCCAATGGCTGCTGCGGCCGGCGCTGCGCTGATCAGAAGCCAGGTGCTTCCTTCTGGTCTCCCATGCGGGTACAGGGCCCAAGCACTTGGGCCATCCTCCACTGCCTTCCTGGGCCACAGTAGAGAGCTAGTCTAAGAAGAACAACAGGGACAGAACCCGGCATCCCAACCGGGACTAGAACCTAGGGTACCGGCGCCACAGGCATAGCATTAGCCTAGTGAGCTGCGGCGCCGGCCCACTCTGCTTTTCAAGTAAACAAATAATTTTTTTTTTTTTTTAATGCTCAGCAGTACTTCTATGTTCTGAAGGGCTTATCAGCTTCCAATTTTGCTTTAGGACTGGGTCAATCCTAAATTCATGCCATAGATTTTTTTTTTCTAGGAAGCAGTACATGGGTCAGCATGCTTGTGTTCCCAAAGATTTTATTTAAATGACCCTCCTATTTTGTTTCCTGTGTTGGAAGTAAGTACTTGGTTGCCAGTTATTCTGTTTGTAGCACTTGGAAAGAAGTTTAGCAGTGGAGTCAACTGATCTATATGAATATAAAAGCTCAAAAAATCACCTGATTTTCAACTGCGCATCTCACTCATATGCATTGTACCTGACTTTTCAAGGGCTCTGTGTAGCAGATTGTAATATCTTCCTTGATATATTGAAGTGATATGTCTTTTGGGTTCTGCTTCCTCAACCCTGGTTAACTATTATAAAACCTATCAACTTGCTTTTTGACTTCTAGAAATTTGTAGAAAGTTCTCTTGTTTTGTAATAGAAGATTATATCAGGAGCCGCCAGCTTTGGCTCACAGTGGGTAAAGCTGCTACTTGCGATGCCAGCACCCAGTATGGGCTCAGGTTCATGTCCTGGCTGGTCCATTTCCAATCCAGCTCCGTTCTAATGGTTTGGGAAATGCAGTGGAAGATGTCTTAAGTGCTTGGGTTCCTACTACCCTCACGGGATACCCAGAGGAAGCTCCTGGATCTTTTGGCCTGGCTCAGTGCTGACTGTTGTGATCATCTTGGGAGTGAACCAGCAGATGGAATATCTGTCTCTCTGTCTCTCCCTTTCTCTGTCTGTAACTCTGACTCTCAAATAAATGAATAAATCTTTAATAAAAAGATTATATCAGGATATGATGATGACCCCAGACAATTTGTGGAAAAAAGGAAAGGAAAAACAATGTGAATTTCCCATGAACTTTTTGAAGGCTCTTTATGTTTGCTAAATACTTGAAGAGGTATAACTGACCCATATGCATTTCACCTTTTGTTAACCTTATCACTACCTTGTTTCATTCATCTCAATGTTCTTTTTATTTTGAAGTTTGCTGAAGATTCTTTAAGAATCATCCAAGGTGCCACACTGCAAAAATGGTTCAGCTGACAGCCACCCCTCTAAGTGCACTTGTTGATGAGCCAGTGCATATCCGAGCCACAGGCCTGACTCCTCTTCAGTTGGTGGTCTTTCATGCATCCTTGGAAGATGAAGTGGGGAATCTCTTTTATTCACGGGCCTTCTACAGGGCCAATGAAGTTGGTGAGATAGACTTAGATCATGCTGCTGCACTTGGAGGTGACTATAAGGGAGTGCACCCCATGGGACTCTTCTGGTCACTCAAGCCTCAAAAACTAGTAACAAGACTGCTGAAAAGAGATGTGATGACTAGCCCCTTCCGGGTCCAGATAAAACTCTATGACAGACATTTACCAATAGAAACCAAAACCAGCGAAGCACCAAAGGCCAGCGTGACTTTGGAAAGGTGGTATGTGGCACCGGGTGTCACACGAATCCCGGTCCGAGAAGGCCGTCTTCGGGGAACCCTCTTTGTGCCTTCAGGTGAGTAGAATTATTCTGGTTATTGATACCCCAGTATTCCCTCTTTTGAATGACTTAATATCTCGGGAAATTTAGCTTGAATATGTACAGTACGCAGGGCACTCCTTTAACACCTTAGAATCAAGGTTGACAGGGTTGGAACCAGAGTGTGTTCATATTCCATTCCAACTCTAGTTTCATCTCAACAATTCTGGAGCTTGTCTAAGGATATGAATGTCTATAGTTTATAGAATCCCTTTGTTGTAGATGTCTATAGCTTTGGACTTACGTTACATTTGTCTGCATTGAAGACTGGCTATCTGAAGACTCTGGATTTGCTATCCTGAAAACCCTGCGCCAGCTCCCTTTAGGGATCTGTCATGTTGAGTTCCTGTTTACAACATTAACACAACAAGCTGGTAATATGTTGGACTGAAAGACTGCAGGAAGCAAGCAAACCAAAAAACCAGAGAATTGAAAGAAACTTTATACTGCTTCAGTTTCATAAATATTGCATGTTAATAGAATGTTCCATAAGTCAGGTAATTCAGCATGCTTCCTAATGGTTTTAAGACACTCAGTTTCTGGCAGTGATATCTGCATTCCAGCACATGGTTTCTCCAGGTTATTGGAGGACTGAATAAAGCAAGGTTAATTTACCAAAAGACCTCACAGGACAGGTTTCAGGCCTATTTGAGCTCTTCTTCATCAGATATGTGCTTTGTTGCGGGACACAGCTATAACCTCATCAGGATATATCAACTTTATGGTTTTCTTTTAAATCTAACAGTCTATTTGTACAACA